GCCACATGATACTTACACAGAATGTTTTTCTGAATGGGAGCTCCTTATTTCACTCAGTAAAAAAAATTGTTTTTTCCTAGAGCAATTTATTTTTTTTAGGTAATTAATGCACTTGGAAATTGATTTTAAAATAAATGTTTTCCAGTGTAGTCAGTTTCACATTTTGACTAAATATGCCATTAAAAGTGGATGAAGTTAGGCTGGATTTATCAAGTGCACCACACTGACACGTATGATGTAATATATTCAGTAAAGCATGTATTTTAGGTTTTTTAATGCCTTTTGTACAAGTTGAAATAAAGTCTCTTGACTGTTTAGCTTATTGTTCAGTTTCAGCCTCCTGAGCAAGGGGTAAACTTATTCATATCAAGGTCTTGTACAAAGTAAAAATTCATTTTCTAGCAGATGGTGATATCTGGGGTTGGAATGACACCCAGCTGTGTAAATTGTATAGTCTGTATAGCTCCACATTTTGTTAAGTGTGTTTTGGTGTTTTGTTTTACAGTGTACACACAAAATGCAAGGCTGTGTGCATTTATACACGTGTGTGTGATTGTTTTAACATATGCAAACTCCGTGGTTTTAAGCTGTAAGTTCAGGAAATGGATCCTACCTGTCCAAACTCTTTTGAAGCCCTTAACTTGTAAAGACTTTGTTTGACAAAGTTTTTAAACAATACGATCTTAATTGGTTTTCTTGAAATAAAGCCTCTTGGCTTTTTGTTTTTTAAATTGCTGCTAGCAGTTTTTTCTGTAAAGTGAATAATTTGTGGTTTTGTATAAAGTGCACGTTCTCAACTTTCTGTTATCTCCCCCCCCAAAAAAAATACTCCTATCAGCAAGATTTTAAAAACTTATTCAGTCGCCTTCTTGGAAGGTCCAGAGATGGTGCAGGCTGAAAGTTTTCCCTGGACTGTTTTCCTTGCTGTCTTTCATAAAAATCTGGCACTTAGGTACTTACGCAATTAGACTCTGCAGCTCTGCTTTTGGGCTCCAGCTTGTATTGCTCCAACTTCTGCTGCTGGGAATTAAGCACTGTTCACAAGAGCCAATTGCTTCTATGTGCCGATTGTGGTTTTACTGTCTCTGAGTATTTGTTTATTACTGTACATTTGTTCTTAATATGCCATGGTGCTTCTCTGTTTCTCCACATTCTCTGCATTCTGAGCAAGGTGAGCCACTGAGCACTTTTGCAGCTTCAACCAGAAAGGCTCATGTGCTGCATCCAGTCTTACAAATTTCCTGTGCTGTGCAGGGTATTTCAACATGTCCTTTTTATTATAGTGAATATAATAGGTACTCACCTACAAGAGCAAAGTTTAGGTAGGCTTGCAATGTTGCATCTCTTAATCAACCTCAGGCTTTTTATAAATAGATGAAAGATGTTTTCCTGTAAAAATGGCTCTGCTGAACAGTGTGCCAGCAGCGAATTTTACATTGCCAAAATATGTTGAGCTGGTATCGAATTAAACTCTTCTATATTTTGGATTTCCTTGACATTTTAACTGTATATTAAAGCAAAGCGCATTATCTCTACAATGCAGTGCTAAAGAAAATCTTTTGAAGTTTTTCTTTTTACTGGTGCTAATAATCACAACATTTCCTCTGTAATTATTGTAGAAGTGATGACTGGATTAGCTTGAGCAGTCTGGAATTCTTGAAGCTTAAATTCCTAGATCTAAAACCCTGGAATTCGGTTTTGCATTGAACACCACCAGTCATTTCAACTGACTGGCTGTTTATGCACAGGTTTCAACACAGCTCAGCACACTGCCTCTGACCTGCACTGGGGAAAGGGTCCTGCTGTTCTGTGTGTAAGCACAGTGGATGTTTTGTACATACTTAGCATGCACATTCCCACAGGTGTTGTATAGCTCGTACATGTTCAGTTAAAGCATAGTTTTATATTGAAGAGGTGACTGTCTTTGTAGTCAGTCAGCTTCCCGATAATCAGACTTTTTCCTGTTGATTTAACAACTAATCCCATCATTATTTTTTAATAAGACAGTATTGAACTAGTTGAGGAAAGAGCAGAACCCTGTTCTCCGGCTGCTGTACCTTAGGCAGAACTATTCACTTCCGATTCAAAGCCTGGATCTTCTTTTGCTTTGCTCTTTGGTTTTGACTGTGCTGAGCATAAAGGGAATGTGTAAAGAAGCAGGCAGTTAAATTTGACCTGTAGGATTTTCTTATTGTGGATGACATGTGAGACTGGGAACAACCTGAATCTGGTGTCCCAGAATAGGATGAAGCCTTGGTAATCAACTGAAACATTTTTTGCGTGTAAAGTTAGTTAAGTGAATGGTCAGCATCAGACACTTTGCCATTTTAGTCTTTTTTCAGAGCTGAATTACACTTTTTCAGTCACTGTAGATTATTTTTATTGTTGCTTCATTAAAATGGAAGGCAGCTGTTAAAGCTGGTAAACACTCCTGTCTGCTTGGTTTTTGTTCCCTTGCACAGGCAGCTTTCCCCTCAAGGAGTTTTAAACAAGAAATGTTTGATTTTTCTTATTTTCTGAGGAAAAACTATAGTAATTCATAGGCTTTATATAGCAACACAGAGAACGCTGGTTCTTCAAAAAGTGGGAAATAGGAAATCAACAGGAGGTGTTCATGTCATTTTGGCCCGCAGCAGAGGACAAAGTAAAATGGGCAATTTGGAGCATTCCCCAGGTGAAGCAGTTCTGTTAAAAAGGAATGTCCATTTGCTGAGAGGTCTCATATGCTGAACTAAGTGGGTGTTATATTAGAGATCTTTTGACTGCCAGATGGTGTGCAGTTGGGAAGAAAGAATTTTATTCCTACAAGAAGTATGAGTCAGAACTAGCTAGTCTGAAATATAAACCACCTTTCTGGGCTGCAAGACTAAGCACTGCATCATTCTGCAATGGTTAAAAGCTTTGTTTGCACTGCATGGGATGTGAAAACCCAAAGGAAACTGCAGGAAAAGGACCAAAATACAGCCATGCTGGGCATGGCCAGGGACATAGGGACCTATAGTCAAATTGCTGGATGACCTGAGGACAGTGTGTGTATATGTGTTTGTGCAAATCCCTAACTTTACCATTAAATCAAAGTTTTCATAATGGTAATTATTTTCTCACAAAGCCCAGTTTGGTTTGGTTTTTAGATAAACTAGATAAAGTTTTTAGTGTAGGTGATGTCTCATAGAATCACAGACTGGTTTGGGTTGGAAGGGACCTTAAAGACCATCCAGTTCCATGAGCAGGGATACCTTCCACTAGACCATGTTGCTCCAAGCCCCATCCAGCCTGGCACAATATGATAAGGGTATAGGCCACCATTTGCAGTTTACTTCCAACATAAAAAAAAAACCAAACAAACCACAAAATAATCAAGTCTAAAATGTCTTACTTGTCCACTTGTTTTATTTGGTGTTTTCCAATGGTAGTCAAATTCTGATTTTTACCCCCCTGATCCTTACATGCACATATTAGCAAAATGAATCTTGATTTCCTACAAGGTAACGATCAACCTTCATTTGGCATAGATCGCTTCTGCATCAGCAAACAATACGCCTTGCTTTTAACTAAGGACTCAAAAGAAAAGATGCTCTGGTTTCACAATACCATGTTGCTGAACTTCCTTTGTTCCTGAACCTCCTTTGTTGCAGAAGCAGGTTTTTTAAGCCTCAGCCTGTCGACTTATCTTACTTTCTCAGAATTTGAAATGGTATCATGGACTAATTCTGTTTTTGTTACAGCAACTGAGTAATTAAGAATGACAATATGGCACTTGCAAGAGTTCATTAGTGGGGTTGCATGAAAAGGACTTGAGTTGATAGTGCCAAAACAATCTGATACTCATTCAAAGTCAGCATTCTCAACTGAAGTATCTAAACCCAAGAAACTAATACAGTATTGCAAAATCTCCAATGAAGAAACTGCTACAGTACTGCCAAAGGAAAATGCAAGTAAGTGACAGAATAACCAGGAAAAGAGCTAGTTAAATTATTTCATTCTCCATTTTCTCTCTAATTGAGAAAACTTTTCTGAATCATTTTATTGCTACTTAAAAATAGCTTTAGTTAAGCTGAAGTGAGGTGGTAAGAAAAGAGCTCACAGCACAGGTAGTACATAAACTCTCAAGATAGCTGGATATGTAGTGTTCGGACTCATGAAAAGAAAACAACAAAAAAAAACCAAAATCCAACCAACCACTTTTCCAGTGTTTTATGGCCTTTTTTTTAACAAAGGATGAGAAAGTTCCTATCACATATACAGAACCTAAGGGCAGGATTTGCAAAAATTCCATATCCAGATTTAGAAAGGATACCAGTTAAGTGGAAGTAGTTAGAGAGGTCAATGCTTGGTCACTTATTTCCCAACTTGGATCACTACTAGGGAAATACACAGGAATCCTCTCAGTTGTTATAATGCTTAAAATGCAGATGATGTGTTTTAAAACACCCTGTATCTCAGTGACTGACAGTTCGCATGGAGACAGACTGCAATAAAAACCAGCGTGAGCCTTCGCTAACACTTGGCATGTTAAGACTTTGACTTTCCTCTAGTTCTGAAGACCAAGTTTAATTTCTTTATTGCGGTATTTGTCAATATTTTCCTATTTTAAATCCCAAAGAAAGAGACCTGCAAGTCTGCTACTGTGACTTTGTGCTCTCTCACTGTGCATTCATGGTTTTCCACATACCTAGGTGTATGTATTCATAGAAAAGGCCTTGGGGAAGGCGCAGCTTCATAGTTTGAAAATCTGTTGGGGTTGTTTTTTTCAGTGAAACAGCTTTTTATTAGGTTATTTTTTTTTCTTCTCTAAACTGCAGTATTTGTGGACACATGCTGCTCCAATGTCCTAGTGTTCTAGAGCTTCCAAAAGGATGGGTGGGTGCTATATTCTGTAAGGCATGTTGGCCACTCCATTGCACTGTCCACTAGACAAACAGGGAGGGCACAGTGATAGAAATTCAATAAACCCGATGATCTGCATCTACAGGACAACACATTGGTCATCTGCAAAAGGAGAAAGGAAGTTATAGTCACTTGATCTAACCTAGGAAAACTGTTTTGAGTGATCCTCAGTGCCAAGTTGTGACACTTCATCTACAGTAACTTTCTAAAAACCTTTTTCATGCTACAGCTGTCAAATGTGCTTGGGTAAGAAATAAAAACAGGCGATGGTGCTTGGGAATGGCGATGCACAAACAGCTGTGTGGCTTCATCAGCATCAGCTCCTGCACGTGATGATCCCAGTCCTGCAGACCATGCTTCCTCCATGGAGATCCTCTGGGAGTAAGCAAACACGGAGCGCATCTCATCTCCATTTCCTCTGCTTCCACTCCCTGAGCAGGCCATCATGAAATTGTTTTGTTTTCTAATCCAAACACACTCATAAAACGAAGCAGCCATAGTTCACAGCAGCGCTGTTGCAGCCCAAGTGTTCTGAATACATGAGACACCACAACACTAGAATTGTCTCCCTTATAAAACACTGCAGTTGTTCTGCTAGAGCTAGTGTAAGGCTTTACAAATGCAAGTGTTAAAAAGAGCAGAAAGAATTGTGCAGCTATTGCAAAATACTTAACCATGTTACTAGGCAATTTCCCTCCAAGTGGGGCTGTTAGGCAGCAGCGCTCCTAGGCTGATCCACCTCCCGCCAAGGCCTTCTGTAAGTCGTGTCTACCTGAAAGCTGTGAATTTCCACATCAAACCAGAAGGCCTTTTGTTTAATACACATTCACAAAGTATGGGACTGGCAGAACAGTACAAAATGCACACATTTCAGGTTTATATATAAATAGTAAGTACCTCTTATGCTACGTACAGTGAATTTGTCTTCACTTGAAGCATGCTTTTTAAACAATCATTGCTTTGGATAAATGTGTCAAGAAGTGGCAGTATCCACATTTTAGAAGGGCAAGGGAAGGATCAGAAACAAACACAAATTCCTGCAAGATAGCAAAGGTCTTGGTATTGGTTCCACGTTGTGTGAGCACTCAGACGGGGTTGGGGTGCTCTTGGTAGCCCAGTGTTCTGCTGAGCACTGCTTGCAACCCAATGCTCCCCAGAGAGCTGCAGGAGCTCCATGCAGGACGGTGATGGAGGGAGCACCCATCCTCTCAGGAGATTCTGCCTTTTCTAAAGGGTAGCTGGTGACACAACGCTTTAGATCCTTTTTCTGCTTTGGGTGCCACGGAGTGCTCTCAACAGTTGTTGATAAAAGAAGAAGGTGGGGGGCTGCATCTTGCTAAGCTTGATTTCTGTGGTAGCAAGCACACAGGTCTTAACAGATACCTATTCTGTTTATTTATTTTCTGTGGGGTTAAAGCTGTCATTTGTTCTAGTGAGGTCTGAACCTGTTCTTGAAAGCATCCAAATGCACACATTTTCCATTTTGGAGACAATGTAGACATGTCGCACAGACAAACTATATTGCTTGGCACCTTCAGCTCCATTCTGATCTCTAACACAGTCAAATATTCCAATGGTATTTGCTGTAAGTGAGCACTGCATTCACTGCTGTATTTATGACTTGGTGTGAAAATCAGTTCCTTTTATTTGGTTAGAAGCCCAGTGGTGGGTGGTGGAACAGCATCCTCCACTCCTGGCTTGGAAGCAGGCAGTCACCTGCCTCAGCCTGAGGCCCCACCTGAGGACCTACCCATAGGCACTTCATTTTTAGGTGTAGCTATACTAAGGACCACAGTCTACCCTCAGGAAATGTGCAGCTGGAAGTGACATGCCCACAGCTGATAGCAGAATTTGGCTGGAGGTGCTTTACAAAGACTTTGACTCATTTCCTTTGGACTGCTATTCACAGGCACTTTGCTGGCCTCCCACCTGTAAGCTCCTCTGCTCCTTGGAAAAGACCTTGTCCCTTAAGTTAAAATTGGCCACTGCTGAAGCACCTTCTGTTGGTTTGCATTCACCTGGACATCAAACCTACCATTTACTTTGATGTAAACATGTACTTCTTTACAAAAAAATAAACGCACACAACCACTCTAACCCTAAAGCCTAGAGCAATAAGAAGCCAGTTCAAGCCTAAGTACACATAAAATAGCTTTGGAGTCAAATTAAATAAAATGCTAAATTACAAACATGTAAGATCTCCACTTGCTGCCGACTGATTCTTTTCTAGCCCTGGGTCATGCTTCACATCTTCGCACTGTCTTGTTTCGGTGGTTCTGCTGACTGCGTTTCCAGGGCTGAATATTTGACTGGGGAAAAAGAAAAAGTCATGAATACAATAGCACATGATGAGACCTGAACACAAGCAATTGGTGCCCGGTACTGGTTGGTTGTATGTGACATTCGATAAGCCTTTGCAGCAGCCTTGATTATGATTTTCTTGTATGAGACACTCTCGATGGCTGAAACCACATACTATTAACTGCCATCGTTTGCAGCTGACCATGGCTTTCCTTTGTGGGCAATAAAGGGGGAAAACCAAGTGGTGTTTTCATCACAGTGACACAGTGCAGCACGAGGGACTTTCTTACAGTCCCTCAGTAAAGCTGCCTTTGGGGCCAGGTGCAGACAGGGTAAGGAATGCAAGGTTCTTACCTTGGGGTTCCTCACTTACGACAGCTTCCATGTTTTCTCCTTTCACATACTCCGAGTTAAGTCCCTCTGAGAAGTAATAATAAGGAAAGTGAGATGGGAGGGTAGAAAGTTACAATGATTTGCTTTGATGCCTTAAATACTCTGGTAATGGGCCTACCTGCTGTAAAAGCAAAGATGTCTTTTTGCAACCTCCTCTGCATGAGCAGCAGTATGGAAACACCAGCAAACCGCCAACGGTGCTGAGAAAGCATTGCTGGATTATAAAGTGACCAGAGAGGCTTGCCTAGAAGGCACAGCTTCTAGCAGCAGCCCTTTTTACTGAGCCTCTTGCTTTACCTTTACCCTGCGAGGCAGCAAGGCTTGTTACTGCACTGAGGCACTCAACTAGGAGAGCATGGAGTGGGTACATCTTCCGGACAGGTCCAAGCACAGAGAGATAGGATCACTCTCATTAAAAGCTAAGTTATGCAGAGCTGTAAGAAGCAGTTTAGAGCAGGGCTGTGCTGATGAGGCAGGATCCCAGCGGGATCCCAAATCCCAAATAAGTCCCTTATTTAAATGCAAAGAAGTTTCCAGTGTTTGCAACAAGTGCACAGCCTGGCTGAGGGGCAGCGGAGGGCACTGGTGGGCAGTCCAGGGGATGTGCAATTGCACACGGGAAGGAGCAGCACGGCTCACCATGGCCCATCTCAGAGCTGCAAACTGAGCTAAGACTGTCCTGGGTGTGCCATGGGCCTCAGCCAGCCTCTACAGCTCCTCTAAAGGACCCCTCTGGAGAAAAAGGCAGTGGTGGGAATGCTGCATCTCAACAGGGATGGATGAGGGAAGGGGAGTTGGCTTGCTGGTTTGCCAAAGGAGGATGAGGCTATCCATACTGCGTCCATGCAACATGCACTGTTCAGGTATCTAAACTTGTTTACACATCTAAATGCAGCATAAAGCGTGGCAGGGACCTGCTATGCCTCACCCCCAGGGTTTGATGGGGCTCATTGGCACTGACAGTTGCCAGGGCTAAATCAAAGCAGTGCAATGGGAGCCCTCATGTAGCAATGGGGCAGCCGTTTTAGATAGATACTGGCTAAAAAAAACCCATAAACCCTCACTGCAGCACTGACACTGCAGCTGCTGAGCCGTGGAGGAGAGGAGCTGTCGGGGCAGCACCAACAGCTCCTGTCCTGCCCAGGCATGCAGCGGGACACAGGAGGCTGAGCCCTAGCCCAGGGCACAGCTCACAAGTAGGAGATGCAGTGTGAGAGAAGAAAGTGGGATGAAGAACATTATGTGCATGTCCTGCGGAGGAATCAGCAAACACTCATCAGAACAGACTGAAAACCAAGACATGGTGCCAAAGCCTCACTCCAGCTGATGGGTGGGCAAGGAAAAGAGCTGAGCCCGTTCCTCTCAGCATCAGGAGGGTGGTCATTACACACCAGCGCTGCTTTCCACCACCACCACCCCCCAAGACATGTGTTTTGCTGGGATAACACCAAATGCAATTTATGTTTTTCAATAAAAAGCCACTTTTGGAGTGGCTGACGGCTCTCAGATTTCTGTCATGCATTGCAGTGCATCTAAGGCCTGACATTAGCCCAGCATGCCATGTCTGATGGCTTAAATTAATCCTCCTTTATAATTAACTTTAATTTCCTGCTGCCTTTCTGGGGCTTTGTGTCTCTCAGCTTCCCCCTCATCAAAGCCTTTACTCTTTTTTTTATTATTATTATTTATTCTTGCCAAAATATCATTTAAGTGGGGGGAATATACAAGGGTGTTTCATTCCATCACATTCATTTGACTTTTCCTGCTGATCTAATTTACCAAAATGTTCCTGTTTGTTTCAGGCACAACTGGGAAAATAGCACAATTCCAACAGAAATCTCCAACCCCGAACACCCTTCCCCCTGAGCGAAGGAGACTCGCAGAACATTTCATTTGATTCATTTAAAAAGAGCTTTTTCCAGCTGTTTGCAACCACCCCATGAGGGGCTGCAGGAGACACCCCCCCCCCCCCCCCAGCCAGGCCAGTGCTGTGGGGTGATGCTGCTGGACACCTCCTGCAACCTGATGGGGCAGCTCCTGCAAACGGTGCTTTGTGGGAATGGGAAGCTTTGCTGCTTAATTTGCACTTAATTGCAGTGATTGCTGCACACCTGCAGCAGGGTGGGGTGGGCTCTACCACCCAGGGCTGTTGTAGCTGCAGATGGTTGCTGTGCTTCCTCTGCTGCTACTACCTGGTGAGTTTTTGCCTCTTGCTGAGATTTTTTTTTGGGGGGGGGGGGGTGTTGGGGGAAGGGAAGGTTTTGGTTTGTTTGTGTTGGGGTTGGCATGGGCTTTATCCGTATTTATCCTCATTGGTGTTGCTGGTTTTATCTTTGGCTGCGACTGTCTGCGAGAGGCTCTGCAACGGATCCTGGGCTTGTTGCTGCTCTGATGGGTGAGGGGTTTCAATGACCCATGGCTGGGGTTCTGGTCTGCTACTGCATGCCTGACACCCCACTTCTGTCTCCAGGCTAGAAAATGGCAGCAGGGCTCAGGGGGCAAACAGGGATGTGCTTGCTCTGTGCCCCTGAGATGCCTGGGGGGGGGGGGGATGACTTACGTTGGATGCTGAAGCAGAACTTCTTCTGCTGGTAGGAGATGTAGCTGGTGACAGCCCCGACGAGCGCCATGGCCAGGCCGCTGGCAATGCCAGCGATTGTCCCTGTATCTGCCACTGTGCCTGTGGGGTGCAGAGAGAGTGGGGTGCTGTGTGGTGGGGACACACACCCCCCCATCCCACAGCCCCACTGCTGGCCCCACGGCCATGGTGGTACCTACTTCCACTGTAGTCGTTGTCGGTTTTGCCCCTGCTACCTGCAAGAGATACAAACCCATGAGAGCCCCCTGCCCCTCTGCTCCCCCCTGCCATGCTGGGCATCCTGGGAAAGAGCAGGGATGCAGGAGAGGGGCAGCACAGTCCCAGGGGCACCCTTGGGCAGAGGGGGGCACATATCTCTGTAGGGCACAGTTTCTCTGCTGACCCAAACCTCTGCAGCTCGTCCTTGCCTCTCAGAGGGGTCTAAACCTGCTCCTATCCCACTGTGTGTGCTGGGGGGGAGCTTCCGCAGGAGACACCTCTGCGGGCACACAGTGAACCTCATCTCAACCCCTTGATACCTCTGCTGCTCTCAGCGTAAAGAGAGAACAAATGAAATGCTGTCAGACAATTACACAGCAGACTCGCGCCGTGACAGGGAGGTTACTGGCTACGCTCCATAATGTCAGGGAATCCTCACTTGGCTTGAAGTCTGGTTTAACATCACCTTCCTGGAGAAACTGGGCTGGAAGGAGAAGCTGCTCCTGCAGGAAGCTGCAGTCCTTACCGAGTCACTTTAGATCCTGAATTTATGGAAGCAGGTCAGCATTGTATTAATGCCTCTGATGTGGTTCGTCCTTGGCACGGGGATTCATTAAATGTTGATTGGGTTTGCGGTTTTCATCTCTTTACTTGACAGCATTTAATATTTAATGCTGTGGATCCTCGCAAATGCACAGGCTTAACGACTGTTGCTGTTTCCCTCCCTGCTCCAGCCATCGGTGGTTGCATGGTAGAAGGCAAATGCAGGCTTGCACCCACAGCACAGGGGTGAGCATCCAGGTGATAGTGGAGACGTGGGTCTCTGGTGGCAGGTGGAAGTGCAGAGCCTCCGTGGCATCACAAATAAGCACCTCCAACCACCGGCACAAGGACCACAGAGGGCAAAACCACTGTGTTCCCCTGGCCCCATGGCTCAGACCCCCTCTCCCCACAGGAAGGCAAGTGCTGCTCTGTGCACTGTGCTTCCTAGGAGGTTGGTTATTGCTGATTACTGCCAGAGGTGCAGCTGTGCAAGCAGACAACATGTGTAGGTCGGTGCTTACCTTTCTTCTTGTCTGGACTGTAGCCGCCGTCCACAATGCTGGCCAGGTCATCGTCTGAAAACCCTTTAAAGATAACAGGAGCAAAGAGTGGTTGGTGCTGAAGGGAGATGCGGTCCCGGCAGGAGGTATGGGGGAGTTCACCCTCAACCTGCACAAAGCCAGATTCACCCAGCAAAACACCGAAGTGGCCATCCTGGGAAGGTGAATGCAGCCAGAGCTGCCTAGAAAAGTGTAACAGAAGGAAGAATAGCACATGGCTTGCTTGGGATGAGAGGGATCCCAACACCCGAGTGATTCTGAATGGACAGGGCCTTGGAATAGGACTTTGGGGGATCACCTGCGAGCACCCTGCACCCAGGGTGGGACTGGCCTCCTGCAAACCCTGCTCCTGGGGCACGGTTCCCTGCCGGGCAGGCGGAAGCTGCTCTACTCCTTTCACAGTTTTCTCTAAAACTGGCTATTCTGAAGAGCTGTGCGGGGCTTTCTGTGCAGCAGGGCCCGGAGCAGGGGCCTGCACACCCATTTCAACCAGCAGCACCCAGTCTGCTGTCTACTCCATTCCTAGCAAGAACAGGGACAGGTCAATAAGCAGTTCCACTTCTCTTGTGATACCAGATGTTAACAAAAGGTTCAACCCCAAATTATTTTAAGCTTATAGAAGAGATAATACTGACTTTCAGTCTAGTTTGAAAGAAATAACCTGAATCAAAGTTTGAATACCAGTGTATTATTGTTTAACTGAAATGACTGATGTATTTATGAGTTCATTAGACGTTCTGGCTGCTCAGCCTTGGCTGGCAGTGGAGGGAGGAAGAAGCAGTTGCTGTGTACAGTGGCCACTCTGCTTCTGGTGGGCCAGCCTGGCCCAGGGTCCTGCAGGCATGGAGCTGACTTTCTCCCCTTTCCAGAGGGACAGAGCCGCTGCAGTGGAAGAGCTGAGAAGCAGCACATCTCGGTACAGGTGAAAATGTTATCTTGGACCCGGCTGTAGTGGGAGTCCTTGAATGGTTTGGGCTGAAAGGGACACTAAAGCTCACCCAGTTCCAACCTCCTGCTATGGGTAGGGACACCCTTCACTAGACCAGACTGCCGAAAGCCCCATTCATCCTGGCCATGATTAATTCACGTGGCATAAGTGCATAGAAACAAGGCCTGGGAATCAGCAGCTGAATGAGTGGTGCTGTTGAACCCCTTGGCTCAGTCCCAGAGGGGCACAGCAAGGCGCAGGATGAGAGAAGAGACCCAAAGTTAAGCCAGCAAAAGGCTCCTTCTCTGATGCTGCACCTACTGAAGGGTTAGTTTTGCTCTGACACCGGGAAGAGGCTGCCTTATTCATCAGCTTACCACAGAAACAGATTTATGGGCTTAGTAATGACTGTAAAGCGGAAAAGCAACCCTGACTATGCCAGAACACAGAGCGGTCCCAGGCAGTCCAGGGTGCAGTGATGCCGGGGAACGCGTGTGCTGGTTTGTGACCTATGCCACGTTCCAGCGGTTCAACACCTCACAGGAGTCTGAAACCTCAACAAGCCCAGAATATCAAAGTGCAGACAAGTCACCCAGTTAATTCAATCTCATAAAATACCTGACTATTAATGACGCATGTGAGCGGGGTATACGGCCATCTCGACATCAATAAACTAGCCTTGCAAAGTCTGGTTTCCAGCTCAAGTGCTCAAGGGAACAATCCTCGTAGACAAATGATTCATTCACCAGAGTATTTTAGAGATGGAAAAGAAAATCTCCCAGCCTGTAGCGTATGTTACGCCCGGACTGAAGCCTGCTCTAGATTTATGTTTTGGCAATGACTGAGAACCCCAACAGCACATGTCCTTGGTTAAAAGAGCTGTCAGGTACAGGACGAGGGGAACTTAACACAATCACCACAATTTAAAGGGTCAGAAGAGGCCCTGGGAAAGAAACCTGCAGACAGGCAACAGGTCGTTAGGCAGAGCCCCTTTCTGCCAAGGATGGCAGAGGCAGGGGCTCCTTCTGCCCTGGAGGAAGGGACTGTGCTGCCTGCAACATATCGCATCCCCCCAGGACACACTGGTGCGGGCAGCAGCCATGGGCAAGGCAGCACTTCTGCTCCCCCCTACCCTGTTGTTTGCCAGGAGAACCTGTTCCTGGGAGGATCTCCCACAGGGCCTGGGGGGCAGCAACACAGAGAGGGGAAGTGAACGTACCTTCATCTGGCCTTATGTCCGGCCTCCTAGCACCTTTCCCATCGTTCTTATCATCAAGGGCATCAGCCAAGTCAAAATCCATAGGATCCTTTGCTAGAAAACAACACAGGGGTTAGCAGTGCTGGCCACAGGCTGGGTTGTTCTTCAGTTAATTAATGAATCATAGAATCCTAGACTGGTTAGGGTTGGAAAGAACACTAAAGATCACCTTGTTCCAGCCCCCTGCCATGGACAGGGACACTTTCCACTAGACCAGATTGCTCCAAGACCCACCCAACCTGGCCTTGAACACTGCCAGGGATAGGGCAGCCAGAGCTTCTCTGGGCAACCTGTGCCAGTGCCTCATAGAAATGCTCAGCTTTGCCAGGGAAAAGCGCTGATGAATGAGATGATGCCCCCAGCACAAGCATCTCTCCTGGTTTTGCTGTCCTGCATCGTAGCAGACCTTCCAACCCCCTCCCGTTTCATGTGTGGTGAGAAATATCACGTTCTTCCTATAGAAAGAGTCCCACGCTGTGGCTCAAGTGCCAGGTAGTCAGATAAATGAAGCTGGGTAGAAAAGGTCAGAGCCAAATAAGTGCTCCCAAGGGTGGAGGGAAAGGAGGTGTCTATGCCACAGTGACGTGCCAGGTGGAGCAGCCTGCGACTTGATGGCTTGGTGCTGTTTTCCTCTGTGAATGGCCCACCTGGTGACCTGAGCATCCTGGCTCTGACAGATCAGCTACTACCTTTGCTAAACCGCAGCTAAAACCATGGTCCAGAGCCAGCCCAAGCTCCTCATCCCTCCTGCCAGCTCACACCAAAATTGATTTTTTTAGGGTTTTTTTTAAGCCTGGGAGTGCCTTTTGCCAAAACTCTGCCTGAAGCGGCAGCAAAGTGCACACTGACAGGGTGTCCTGGTGGGATGGTATGCTGGTGGAGCCTGGAATGGCTGTGCTGTGCCATGCTGGGTGGCACAGCAAGCCCACGGCCTTAAAACCGGCAGAGGAATGCAAGAGTCCAGGAACTGCTGGGATGCCCAGGGAAGTGCAGGGCAAAGCCAAGATACCCTGTCTACCATGTGGTTTTTGTTGGCAATGCTGCCACTGTGGCACATCCCTCTGCTCACACCAGCAGCGGAGCTGAGGTGGAGCCACAGGACTGGGGTGCTCATACTCACCTGGGTTATGTTTGGGGGGGGGCCTCGTAGTTTTTGGCTGCTTGGTTGTGGTGCGGATGACATCCCAAAAGCTGTTGTCTGAAGGGAGTTGGGGGGAAAAAAAGAGACCAAAATGACATTACTCTCTGAAACATGCATTCGGACAAGTGCTGGGAGGGGACCCCCCTCCCTGCAGGGAGACAGGGGCTGTGTGGAGTGGTTAGTTCTGTGTTCTGAGCCCTACACAGCTTCAGCTGCCCCAGACACCAGGGACCCCACTGCCTGTTGGTGCCCTGGGGATGCTCAAGCTCTCGATGTGAGTGGTGGGTGCCTTCACGGGGATCCCCTGAGCCATGTTACCTGCCAGCAGGGACTGAACTTGGGAAGGGGACAAGCAGGGCTGCCAGAAAACCCTCCCCAAATGTGCCAGTGGGATTCATGCTATGACCCACTTATCAGAGCTCTGCCAGTGTGAGGCCAGTCCCACGCCAACCCTACCAGCTACCCATGGCATGCAGGAGCAGGACCAGGCACCACCAAAAAGATGCTTATGGATTTGTGTATGGATGTTCTACTTCATTGATGAAATTGGTGAGTGAAAACACTCCCTGTGGAGTGTTTTCCCCTGTCCAGAGCCCCAAGGCGAGCACACATGCACCCTCCACAGGGCACAGGATGCTCCACAGTACCTGGCTTTCCTGGCCTGGGGAAGGGCTTTGGAGTCGGCTTGGCTGGTTTGGTGGTAGTCTCCGGAATGGTGTCAAAGTAATCAGCCAAATCAAAGCCTGCTGCAGGAGAAAAGGGACTGTTAAAACACCCATCGCTTGTGGAACGGTGAGAGGCTTCCAGCAGCGACCCCTGCATGGCAGCTCTGCAGCTGCTATTGCACGACTGCTGGAGGCCACAAGTACCTGTGCCAGTGCGGAGCTGAAAAGGGCATCCAGCTGCTCCACTGCTCAATGACAACCATGTTGTAAAGCCTTCAGATCAACCTGGACACTGTTCAACTCCTCCTCCCTGAGCTGTGGCTTCTGCCCACCCCAAGGCTGAACCCAAAAATAACACTTTTGGGGCATCTTCTGGTGCAGATGAGAAGCTGCTGTGGGCATCCAGCTAGTGGGTGGGCCCCACTCTGCTCCCTGCATGGCCACCCATGAGTGACCCTGGGCTGAACGGAACACGGAACACACCACAGGAGCCCTTGGTGCCATCACTCATCCAAAACACACTCCCCAGGGAAGAATTAACTTGCCGAGATGAAACCTCAGCCTCAGTGTACGTCCGTTTCCCAGGGAGAGTTTATTGGATCAAACAGGCTCTTGTTCAGGCTGTGATCCAAACCCTGCAGCGCTGCGCGTGCTTCTGGCTCTTGTCTCTTCTCATCCCTAGCAAAGACCGTCGTGGCCAAGGAGCTGGACAGTCGGATTTGCTTAAATTTGTGCCAAGATCCTGATGCAGGGGTGAACAGATTCACTTCCGAGCACTCCCCCCGCTGCAGGTTATTTCAGGCTGCCCCAGCAGGGTTGAGCAACCCTCGGCTCTTGTGACCGTGCTATATTTAAGTAGGTATATTTGGCTAGAGCTGAGCCAGAGGAGCTGCCAGCAGTGAAACTCGGGTGAATTTAAGGAGCTTCCTCAGCCAGGGCAGAGCCTGTGGAGCCAGCCAGGCAGCACATCTGATGGGCACAGTCAGAGAGATGTTCTTTCCCTGGGTGGGGAAACATCACCAGGCTGGGCTTTTCTGTGGAGGTTGGAGTGAAAAAAAAGGAAGGAAAATATCCTCTGGGTTTCCTCCTGGAAGGAAAGCTAGCAAGTGCCATTCAGCCAGAAACAAAAGCTCTTGTGTAGCTGAGCAGTGATTTGTGCCTTTTCCATTATGATACTGCAAACTGTGCAAAATTCAGCCTTGGCCATGAATGCTCCACTGCCACTCACCTTCAGCATGGACAGAAATATCAATATTGCATTTACTCTGGCCCTACAGGGGAGTGCACGTATGTACACCAGCGCCAGCCTTCTTATGGGCAAGTGAAGGTGCCCCAAGGCAGCATGAGCCACACGTGGGCAGCCTGCAGGGGGGCTCACATGATTCAAACCCCCCTGGGAAGCAAACCCCACACTGTGCTGAAATGATACACACACAAGAAGGTCTCACCTGTATCACCTGCCGGCTTCCTGGGGCCCACGGGAGTCGCTGTGACAAACCAGAGGAAAACCTTAGTCATGGACATCACTGAAAACACATCACTTCTGTTTGAGAATCAAGGGCTGACATTCTGCTACAAGCTTTCCAGCTGAGCATCGCCGGTCTGCGTTTGTAAAGTCAAGAGCCCAGAGCCCCAAAACCCTGCAGGCCTGAGCCCAGAGCTTTGCAGGGCGCAGCTGTGCCTGGGGCTGAACACTGCCCCTGTGCAGGCCAGCATCCTGCCAAGCCGAAAGCAGGGAGCTGTGATAAGCTGCTCCCAGTTAAGACTCCTGGAGGCAGCAGCAAGGACACACACTGTACAGAACACTGTGGAAAACAAGAGTAAGCTGCCAGGGTTTTGCTGTCCACTGCCAGGTCACTCAGTTAAATGACAAATAATATCCAGCCCTGCATTATGAACGGGAGGTTCCCTGTCAGCTGAAGGAGTTTTGGTGGCATGCTGATGCTCAGATCCCAGCTCCCCTGGCTGCTCCTGGGCTAAAACAAGCTACAGTCAGCCTTTAGAGGGAGGGATCATTTGCTTTTTTCACCCCCTGTAAAGGACTACCTATTAATAGTGATGACCATTGCCAAGTATATGAATAAATTATAAGCAAGAGTTGTGGCTGCTCTATTCCCATTAACTTCCATTTATGCCTCTGAATACTGGAGTGTTTCTGCTGGGCTTGTTTTCCAGTGCACTGGTACTGTGAGATGTGACCCGACTCCAGACCCTTCATTGACATGTTCAGCGTCGCTGCTACCTCAGATCACTGCTATGCCTCTGTGTTTTGCTCATGGGAATCAGAAAGTGAAGGGCACACGGTCAGCAACCAGCTTCTCCAGGCCCATCTCCAGTCCTACCTGTTGGCAAGCCCAGATGGACATTGCATCTCCTCAGGCAGAGAAGTTGAGACAGTCTGTATCCTCCACGACCCTCCCACCAGCACCAGATCCCAAAGAACAAATCGCATCCATGAACAGCTGTTTGTTTTCTCCTCTTTAAAACAAGAAATAAGTGTTACTTACGTCGCTTGGTGGTGTGGTCATACAGGGCATCTTCTAGGTCAAAGTCATCTGTCTTGTCCCCATGACCTGGGAACAAAGAATCAGCAGTGGTTGTACTTGCTCCGCACAAAGCAAACTGCCTTTAAATACAGTATGGTCAGATTCATTTGCTCAAATTGCTTTAGTTTTTTGCTAGTTTTTTCCAAGCCTGACCCATCATCAGTGATGAGGAAGACATCAGCCTCCTCCGAATGCTGTGACTGTTAAATTGCAGAGCAGTCATCTCTGGATTTTCCATTTGTCTGCCCTAATGGATGCGGTATAAAAACACACGCTATGCTTAAATTTGTCAAGGAGAGCCTACCAATTCATCTCTTGGGCTGCCACTCATCTGTGGCTGTGCTCACGATTATATGTTTGCTAAACACCATGAAAACATTGGGACAGCACAGACAAACCGGGTGAGAAACAAAAAAGCCCTCTGCACCTCTTCTTCACAAGTGCCTTCCGACATCAAAGGCTTCGCATGAAAATGCTGCTGCTGGCTGCCAAGCACAACTTTACATTTCAGAGACCGCCCGCATCACTCTGCCTTGGTAATGCAAACCAGGCCTAAATCCCCATCCCAGGGATACAACTGACAGGGACAGACAGGGGCTTTTGTTAGATGCCTCACCACAACTCCAGCCACTTTATAATATCCCAGGGATAACTCGGCACTATTCCATGTTCTCCTGCAACAGGGCCAGCTAATCCTTCCTTTCTCTGTCCTTTTTATACGTGGTGTTAATTACTGTTGACTTACCCTAGTTCTGAATGTATTTGTCTTGATAAATTCATGCTTTTACATCTCAGAGCATGCTGAGTAATTAATATCCTTTGGGTTTGCTAAGTACTGCAGCACTGCAAGAGAACATTAAAATGGCTTTCCTCTTATTCCTACTGCTAAATGGATTTAGCTATTGCCACCTGAGCTCCAGCGTGCTTCATGAATAAATTTAAAGCTTTACTGACAAGGACAATAACAATGGGAAGGCACCAGTCCATCGGAAAGCAGGTATCAGCGTTTTGGTGAAAAACTTGAACTGAGAGTGGTCACTCAGTACCGCAATACCTCCAGCTGGGTTTCACTCACACATCGCACCTCGTTTCAGTTGCTGTCTATTCAGATGTACGCTCAGCAAACCTGAGGGCAAGTTAAATGGCTGGAAAGTTGCTATGGGCTTCTCTCCCCTGGCAAAGCACTTGGTGTGAAGTTGCTGCTGGGGGTAAGTAACAAACACATGTCCCAGTTAGGGGGCATGTTTCTCATTGAGATGAAGGATGCCAATGCTTCCCCTGTGAGCCTGAGGAGCAGCTGGTGGTGGGTCACCCACTGCAGGTGGAGCCCAGTTACCACTGTGTGAAACCCATGGAATGAGCCCCTTGCTCCATATAGCAGCACGGCAGGGCTGTGCTCAGCACCCTCAGCCTCTCCCCACACCCCTCTGCTCCTCTGCCAAAGTATTTGCCTCTTGGGCCTTATTGCTGGTGAAATACTGTCACCATGAGACAGGCCAGATGAAGCTGCAGGGTTATCCGGTGGTCTAAGTGCAAATGAGCAGAGTAACAGGTAAAACCATCCATGGTGCCAAAAACCACAACCGCCCAGCTTCAGTGCTTGGATGGGTGCTGCTAAATCACTACATGTCCCTCCTGAGACCCCACAAGCTCATTACTGCTGTGGCAACCTGTCCCAAGCTTGCCACTCTGTCAATTTCATGCAGGCTCCCTTTCCCAGCATGGCTTTTTCCCCAGTGTTTATGGGATTTTCAGGAACCAGCAGGGCTTTGTCATTCTTGTCTTTCTATTGTAAACTGTGTTTGAAAAAAGGTGGAAGAGCAGAACTGTGGTGTGTCTCTGGCAGGATGAGAAGCACTACAAACCCCACTGGGGAAATGCACCGTCACTACGTTTCATTTCGGTTCCCTCTGCCTCTGCAGCAGGCAGGGCAAGCTGGCAGGAGAGATGCAGTGGCAGCGCCACGACTCGCATTGCTATGCCAGGAGCCATCCCTTCCCTCTCCCCCTTGCTCGCTCTGCTCTCCATGATTAAATAGATGTTAAGGGTGCTGATTTGCTGCATGCTGAGTCCTGATGTTAGCGCACCACCTTTGATGTGTGAGCTCAAACACCAAGTGAGGGCAAGTGGGTGCTCATGGGAGTGCATGGAGACACCCCCGTGGTGGGGACACAGGCCCTGCAGGGAATGTGAATACCCCAAGAAATGGGCTCCCCCCAGCCTGGCTTTGAGGGGCTCATGGGACCCCCTGGCTGAGCAGCACTTACACCTCCCTGGGTTTGGTGACAGCTTCCCTCAGCATCTCTCCATGCAGGACAACAGGAGTGTGCCACTTCCAGAATCACTCTCCAAAGAGCCAGCTGGCACGAGTGGGTCCAGGGAGATGAAAGGTCCTCAGGGCCCTCCATCCTCAGGGGACTGATGTAAAACAGCAACCGCTAACATGTCCCAGCTGCAACCGCATCCCAGGGGAATCTCACCCTGCTAGGGAGAGGTGTGCACACAGCCCATGTGAAGGTTAGGAAAACTGCTGACATGCTGAATCACCCGGGACAACCTTCCCTAGGAATTGCAGTGCTTGGCACAGCCCATTTCCCAGGGCTTTCCAACCACTGCCCATAGCAAACTGAGATCCTGTTCCAGGGCAATGTAAACCCAGGAATCCCCTAGGCATTGGTGAGGATTAGTAATAGATTGCCAGTTAATTGAAGCTGACAACAACTTTATTTCATGCGCAGGGTGTTATAGAGACATATTACACCTTTTATGGATCAATAACAGTGCTGCCGTCAAAGGCACGCAAACTTGCCTGCTCGCTCCGACAGATAAGAGCTGAATGCTCGCCTCCTTATCCTTTTATTCAGTTATTAAGTGGTAACAAACCCAGCACTTCACAGCAAGATGCTTAAAACCCAACCAGCCCTCTGCACGCATGTGTTCACCTTGCAAATGCAGGTTTTTGGGAGGCAGCACTGCTGCTCCCTGCGCTGTGCTCCAGGATCCGTGGAGAAGTGGGTCTCCCGGGTTCCAAAAGCCCATCCTCTGACGGGATCCCACGCACAGCAGAGAGAACCTCTGTATGACAGGTTTACACTCTCTGGGAGGAGCTGGCCATGCTCCTCTATACTAGAGCTCACAGGCAGGCCGCTGCTGAGTTGCAAAAGTGTTTGTCTGTAGTGCATGCTCAGCAATCAGGGTCATGCATGCCCTGATGTTCCACCTCCACCGCAGGATGTACCCACGCTGCCTGCAACCTGTTACAGGGCTATAAACCCACTGATACACAAACCCTCTGGTTGCTTGGTATTGGGGAACCAGCTTGGGATCTTTGCCAGGGTTCATGACTAGGCTAGTTTGGGTTTCCTTCAACACCCCCCCCCCCATTTCAGTGGGTCTGAAAGAACTCTCCTCTCCGGCTGCTGGGAGAAAACACACATCTCCGGGGCAGCTGGAAGGTGATTCAAGCCCTGGGTGCCATCTGGCCAAGGGCACTGGAACATCTGCAGGCCTGCAGGTCTATGGCGGGGGGGGGAATGGTCAAATGAGATGTATTTTCCGTATTTTTCTTTTATGTGACAATCAAAAGAAACTGAGCTGGGACATCTTGCGGTACCTAACAGGAATCCCCCAACACCAGAATGGGGAGTGGGGGGTACCCACCAGCAGCTGAGCCAGGTGGAGGCTATAAAAGAGAGGTGAGAGTTACGGCCAAGCCAGCTCCCTTGCCTCTCCCCAACTCCCCTCACCTTGCTGGGGGTATTTTTAATCAGAGCTAGCTGCTCTTTGAAGGTAGAAGGGTTTTGTGCCCTTAATGTATTCGCTCCTCATTATTTTCTGTAGCAGGCAGCTCAAACGTGCAATTGTACTCGTCAGCTTTTTAGCTTGTACAATTATATATATATTCTAATTAAGCCCTACTGTTTGACAAAGCTTGAATTACAGTATCATAATTCACACCCAGTGTATTGCTAGGCCGTCTGCAGCACTCAGAGCAAGGTGTATTCCATTTTTAGTGCCAGCCCACAGATCTCTTTGTGCAATATATATGTGTTTAGCTTCCCTGGGAATTGAGAGCCCGTGATGGTAAGAGACTGACAGCCCAGGAGATTCCGGGAGAATGCAGAGCAGGTACAAGGGCAGCAGAAAGTAAGTCAAACTGCCTGACTTTTATACAGCTACCTTAGGAGCAACGCAGAGGGCAGGAGAGCAGGAGGAAAGAGTGCTGAGAGTCACAGGCATCAGGGTCTCTCCAGCAACCAACCTGGGTGTTTTGGCTCTGAGCTATGGTGTTGGCACATACAGGCGGATGACTGTGCAGGGCACCCATGGCTGCACTGGCACCACTGGGTAGGGTGCCAGGGATGGAGGGGCTTTGGGTGCAGAGCCATCTTGCGCTGCTGGTGGTGCATCCTTGAAGCCCCAAAGATCTGTGAGGAGCAAACGGCTGATCCTCTACAGGTGAGGTCTGCTCTGCCTCTGGCTGCACCAGGGGTCCCCAGGGACCTCTGCAGCACGCAATGGCACCCTGCCCTTGGCCAGAGCAGTGATCCTGGTCAGCACAGACCAGAGCTTCAGACACAGCAGTTCTCTCCAACACCACTGCCTGGGTGCTGGCCAGACCGCCAAGCACCAAGGAAATCTACTCACAAGCGCCACATTGCTTGCAAACCTCGAGCTCTTGCTGATCACTAAGACCAAAGCAAAGTCCTATGCGTGTAGGGGGAGCAGAGCAATTTGGAGCTGTGGCGTTAGGGACAACCTCTGGGAGCAGCTCTGGCTAGCCAGGAGGGTAAGGACAGCTTCATGCAGCTGCATTCTCTCCAGATGTGCCCAGACTGTCTCATGAACACAGACCTCCCCTGAAGTTAGCTCTGCCTTGAAAAGCAGCCTCTGAACTTTCTCCACCTCCTTTGCCACTGCCAGGGAAGACAAGGAGATGCCCCTGCACAAACACCTGTCAGCAGCCCACTGGGGCAAGGGGAGGCAAGGGCTCTGCCTGGGGTGAAACTCAGCCCTCTGCACCCACCACAGCAGTGGGACAATGGGGGACACTGGGGGTACATCACCCCAGCCCAGAGCATGGCCAGGCGACAGTGGTGGGACACAGTCCCTGGCTGGGATGGCACCTGCTCCTGGCAGGAAACGCAAGGTAACTAATGCTGTCGTCCTCGATCTCCATTCCCAGTGAAACATTGTGATTTCCAGAAGTACTAATCAAAAATCATTCTTGATTATGGCAAAAACAACCTCTGCTGATTTTTTTTTTTTTTAATGCAATTAACAAGGGTATATGGTAATTCCAAGCAATCTCGCTCTTGAGATTAAAGGAAAGCCTGCCAGGAAGCACATGAATAAAGCTTTAAGATGAGAATTTGCATAATGAAGACTTTCTCTTTGTGAAGGGACTAATGGTGGTTATGTTTGAAACCTATTAACAGAAATGCCTAAAAGCCTCTGTTAAAGCCACTGTGCTGCCATTGTGACCCATGCAAGCTCCGTCACCCTCAACACCCTCCACACTGCTGGATCCCTGCTGGGAATATCAGTTCCACAACACCCCAGCGTGCCCTCACCTTGGTGAGCCATGCCAGGTGGGTCAGGATGGACAAGTGCAGGGCAACACACCTTGTGCTTAAAGCCACAGGGTAGTTCTGTGTTTTAGTGCTGGATCAGAAGCAGATGACTGCTGCAATCTGATTTGAAGGCTTACTAGGAATTATCTGAATTGTTTAGCAGCAGCACAATACGCTCAGCACCCAGCAACAGGGATGGAGGTGGTGAGGAAAACGCAACCTCCAAAACCAGCCTGCATCAGGTGGGTTCCACGCTCCTTCCAGCAGACACCATCAGCACTGGGACAGAAAGGTCATGGTGAGCAGAAAGCAAGCCCTTGCTGGCACCAGACACTGGAAGGACAGCAGTGCCCACCTGCCCAAAGGTCCAAACGCACCTTCTCCTACCTCAAGGAAGGACAGACCTCCAGGTTGCTCCCAAAGCACCCAAAGAAGCAGCGCTGCCCCATGCACCCTGTGGTGCTCCACAGGAGCTGCCAGCGGGTCACTCAGCAGAGAACAGACAAAAAGCACAGCATAGAGGAGCGTCCCATCTGCTGCCATCTCACACAGCCTTGCTCACTTCTCTACAGCAAGATTTAACACCCGGAGGGAAGTGCCCTCATCATCTCTTTCCCAGCATCTGCATTTGGTAACCAGCTCACAGAGGGAGGCCTGTGGCATTCACCAGATGTGCCTGCATGGACACTGCAAGGAAACATCAAAAGCTGAGGTCTAAGGACAGATCTTTTCCTCCTCACTTTTGGCATGTGAGAAGAGCCTCTGCTCCAGACCTGTCTGCGGAAGGATGAGCAGCTCTTCAGGCGGCTCTTCCCCTAGCCCTGTCCTTCTTGGAGCAATGGCAGCTCCACCACCAGATCCACCAGCCTCCACTGCCAAACCCACCAGGGACCATGACCACCCAGTTGGCTCCCATAGGGACAGAAAGCCCCCTCAAATCCAGAGGCATTTCTTCATGCTAAACTGTCATGCCAACTTTCTCCTTCCTCCCAAAGTTTCCCTTTCACCTGCTCTCAGTCTCACAACTCAAACCACTGGTGATTACTGTGTTTTCATGTTTTATTAATAAAAATGAGATGAGAAGAGCTATTAGCAGAGCAGCTCAGTTCCTGCCGGCTGATTTTGCTTTTCAAACAGGGACCAGCTTGGAGGCTGCAGGAGCACAGCAAAGAGATTGTTCTCCACACGCCTGGGAACTGAGATGCGAAGGAGAAAATTTGCTGTCTGAGGGAAACAAAGTGTTTCCACACATTCCACTGCTGTCAGTGTTGGTGCGTCACTGTGACAAAGCTGCGAGCAGGAAGGGGCCGCAAGCACCAGCTGGCCCCAAGATGCTGCATCTCTGCTAGAGACAACCTAATGCTGGGGGTGACGTACTGAGTGCCCATGGTAGAGCTGTACAGCCACACAACATCTGCTCAGGAGAGGGTGCCCAGACTAGGGCTGCACATGAGATGGTGCTACCACAGCTGGGAGAGGCTTCACATTAGGGTTTCCCATGGGATGCCTTGGACCAGTAGATGCAGAACGGGCCTGCCCCATCTCTGGCTCCACAGCATCATTCTCTCCCTGTCCCTACATGAAACAAACACTTCACCAGATCTTCTTCTAGCCCAGTATGGTCAGAAAGCAGGTAGCACTGTTCTGGCAATACAGGATGGCAATCAAAATGGTTTTCTTCAATATCAGCACTCAAAGCTTTCAAGGTTTCCAAGGCCCTCTGACATCTCTGAACAGGTGATTCTAAGCAACTTTAATAAGATAATCATTCTTTGAGTTTGGTGTCAAAGAAGTCTCTGCGGCAGGATTGCCAAAGCCTGCTTTCAATTAGTCCCAGATCAATCGCATCAGGAGCAAAAAGCTGGCAGGTTTTGAGCACAAGTATCTAAGGCTCCCCCCCCAAAGTGGAGTGCCTGAGCCCACCTGTACCCATAATGAGGATGGGATGATGCCCAGCTTTCTGTGCCTGGGTTGGGTACAGGGACATTGCAGCAGTGGGCTAATGCTGGCAGGGGGAACTCAGCCTGTCCCAGCCCTCCTAGCTCTGCCACTGAGCTCTGGGGAAAATGCCTCAGGTAACCCGCAATTCAAAGATGTATTTGATGGGAAAGGAAGTTTTTTCTTCTCTTCACTCTTTTGCTGTTTCTTTGGTTTGTTTGGGTTTGTGGGGTTTTTGATGTTTGTTGGTTTTTTTTTAAGGTAGAAAAATTTATTATACCTAAAGGATGAAAGGATGTGAACAGCGTCATTCTTATACTCCAAGAGTCCAACCGCTTTGCAAGAGGCAGAGGGGAAATCGGCACTTACCCTACTGCACAGGTTAGGCAATAGCTAAAGATGACTTTCTCAGGTCACAGAGGAACCAACAGTGATCCAGGACTCAGGTTTGTCCCTCTCCAGATGCACTGTGCAGGAGTCCACTGGAGAACTGGATTACTGCTCCTGCAGCAAGGTAAGGGGAGACACTGGGGTGCTGTGACTCTGGTCCTGAGCAGGCGCAAGCCTGAGCTCCCCACAGTGGAGGGCAGGTGGGCACGGCCCAGTGCAACAATGCTGAGATTAGCCCTGCCAGGGAAAAGTAGGCTGGGAGCAGGAGGCAGGATCTGATCTGAGACCACTTTGTGGGCAATCCTGGCACAACCTTTGTCTAGGAGCACTGCCCAGCCCCACCAGGCATAAGGTGGGACATACGGAATGCTGTATTCATTATCCCTCATGAAGCTCAGAAAGCACAGCAAGTACCTTTTCCTGTGGCTGCTTTCACATTTTCCTGCATGCTGTCCCTCAGAAACATTTTGAGGCAGGTTCACATTAGCCACTTGATTTCTGCTTACATGTTAAATCATGACTGTGAATTTGCCTAGGGCCAAAGATGCCTGTTTATCAACCAGACAACAAATTGTGGTATGAAAGTGTCTTGTTCATAAGCCAGCACAGAACAGCTGATAACAAAGACAGTGATGCGGAAGCCCAAAGAAGACTGAAGTGGGAGATTAAATGCTTATCACCTGATTCCTGATGGAAAGAGACTGCTCTCATCAGATAAAGATTGAGAGAAGATGCTGTAGTTAAAAGTAGGTAAATAGGGAATTACAAGGTAAAAGTGCTGGTTCATCACTAGGGATGTGCTGTTCCTGTCGTACTGTGCTATTTAAAATCAGAGCAGTAGTGGAAATGAAGACTTGGGTGATGCTGACAGACGGAGCGAGGCCCCAGGAGAGCATGGGGGGGCTACAGCCCTCCCCTCCTGCTGAAGGCATTTGTCTGCCCCATCACACAGCCTGCAGTGCAGGGCTCCTGCCTGCCTGCTGCTGCTGAAGTGCCTGCACACCTCCCCACAGCACCTCACCCTGCAAACACAGGGTGTTGGATCAGGGTGGGGAGGTGTTTAGGATCCAGCCTCTACTGCTCTGGGTGAGGTGGATCCCTGGAGCATCACAGACCTGGGTGGTGCTGCCGAGGCTGCTCTGAAGGAGCTGCCAGCATGAGGAGACAACAGGGTGGGGGCTGCAATCTCTGCAGGTAACGTGAGCAGGTGGGGCAGGATCTGGTGCTGATTTTTAGTCTGCAGCTACAAGACCACTCCCCTTGGCTCACCCATAGCAAGGAACGCTGTGTCCCATCCCTCAGCCTTTTGCTCTGCTTCATTTTCAATAAGGTGGGTTTGGCTTTTTGCTTTCATAGAGGGGTTTGGAAAACTGGAGGTTTGGGAAGCTGAGTTTGGGGTGTGCATCCAGCTGCTGCTGCTTCCTGAGCCCAGCACAAGCTGTGTCTACAACTGTGGAGGTAAATCCAGGGCCTGCATTCGACTGGTGAGCACCAACTGAGTATCCATCACCTCCCAGAAGTATTAGTAGGAGGGAAAAGCAGAGTCCTCTGTTAAGCAAGTGGGAAAGGTCTGCTGAAATACTTTTGCCGGGGTAAAAACTGTTGCTGTTAAATGTCAATTTACAAGGAGAAACTGAAAGATTTGTTAGACAATTTTATGGTTTGGGTTTTGTTTTTCTATATATGCAATGATTTTGTTACTATAATTTACAATGTCATCTTTTAAAGTCATGAAAGACAACTGTTTAACCCTGAGATAAAACACTTTCCTAGGTGAAGGAAGTGCACAGCAAATACTTTTGCTTCCATTTACCAGGGGAACAGCTGCCTTATCACCAGAGCACCATTTGCAAGTGATGTGGCATGAACTAATTTGAAACATAAAGATAGAAGCTCATTGAGCTCAAAGACAAATCCACTATCAGGTCCCTTGCTCCCTCTGACCTTACTTGTGCAGGAAATAGTACCAGCGTACACAAAGCAAATCATCTGTAAACTGTTGCTGAATTCAAGTGTTATGGCTTTGAGTTTTCCTCGGCAGAAGTATCTAAATCATTCACTCAGTTAAGACCATCATTACAAAAGAGAAAGAAGGAACATACCTTTTTTTCAAACATATATTTAACCTCACTTAAAAGTCCTCTCTTTTCTGCATGAGGCTAAAGAAATGGGTTGGGATTAGTGTGTATTTTGAAAATGCACGGGCTCAAAGCTTAGTCCTGTCCTGTGGATTTGGGGAAATAACGAATTCTGGTTTCCTGGCAAATAATTACACACAAGCTGCATGGCATCCACTCAGTGTCTCTTGACAGTGTGTGAGACAGTCTGTCACTAGCAGCAGTAGCTGATGCCCAGTGAGCAGGGCCAGGCTGAATGCCCACCCTAGCTGAAGCATCTGGGTTACAAATCAGCCTGCTTCTGGGTCAGAGAGCAGGGGCTTGCCTGGGGAGAGCGGATGTTCAGGGCAGGCTTGCACCAGCTGGAAGCATAGCTCCAAATGGTTTAGCTTTGGGGGCTGTGACCTTTTCAGCCTGGTGTTGCATTGGCATCAGGCTACACGGGGATTTCTCTGGCCAAAAGAGCTTCCAGCGTGGGAAAATGTGTTGGGCAAGGGGGACATTTTGCCAGTTCTTGGTCTTTCCACCTCTTAATGCCATGAGAGCATACCCTGGGGTGCACTCAGGATCTATAGTAGGAATTATGCAAATCTGAGAGGAATGCTATGTACTGAGTGGCAGGATGGGACCTGGGGAGGCTTTTTCTCCAAATGAGGTAGGCAGGGTCTGGCATTAGCTTCGCACAGGTCATACTCAGTTCAAGAAGGACAGGGAGCTGCTGGAGGGAGTCCAGCACAGGGCAACTAAGATGATTAAGGGAGTGGAGCATCTCCCTTATGAGGAAAGACTGAGGGAGCTGGGTCTCTATAGTCTGGAGAAGAGGAGACTGAGGGGTGACCTTATTAGTGTATATAAATATATAAAGGGGGAGTGTCACGAGGATGGAGCCAGGCTCTACTCAGTGGCAAACAATGACAGGACAAGGGGTAATGGGTACAAACTGGAACACAAGAGGTTCCACTTAAACTTGAGAAGAAACTTCTTCTCAGTGAGGGTGACGGAACACTGGAACAGGCTGCCCAGGGAGGTTGTGGAGTCTCCTTCCCTGGAGACATTCAAAACTTGCCTGGACACATTGCTGTGTAACATTATCTAGGTGTTCCTGCTCCGGCAGGGGGATTGGACTAGATGGTCTTTTGAGGTCCCTTCCAATCTCTAGCATATTGTGATACTGTCTGGAAAGATGACCCAAGTCCTGCACTAGCAGGGACACCTGAATGGAGGTGGCTGGTCATCAGAGAGATGTGTGCTCCAGCTAGCTGCTTGCTTTCATCCCATATAGGTCATATAAGGATCTGACTTTGAGACTTTTCCTTAAGCTCCTACCCCTAAAAGCTCATATTTGGCAGCAGATGTTGCTTTAACATCACATGTTAATGTGCTGTTCAAAATCTTATTACAAATCCAATGTACCTTTTGCAGCACAATCGCCTCCTTTGCTGGAGGCTGGAAACCTCTTCTGCTTTTGCCTCCCACCCTTCTAGAGCCAGCACTGCAGTTACCCCTGAACATCCCACCAAGATTATGTCCTTCAGTGTGATTCTTCCAACTTTCATGAATTCTTTCTATTCCAGATTTGTGTGTGGGCAAAGAAAGCATCTCAAAGGGCACGCAAAATGCTGAGCAATTCCCTTTTCCCAGCACTCAGTTTGCTGGAAACAACCATATATCAGCCTGTGGAGCCTTCCAACAGCAGAATGATGCTGTTCATGGCGTCCCTCCTCCCTGTCTGAGCTGCCACCTCCAAAATCTTGTCAATGCCTCTGGGTTTGCTTTCTTTGGCTTTTCTACAAATATGCACTGTGCCAGCACTGAAACCCAACAGCAGACCTGGCCCACTCCTTCCCACAAGATGCTGCTCATGTTCTTTGGTATCTCAGGGAAGAGGAACTTGTGCTCAGCATCGGCTTTCTCCCTGTAGCCCCAGTACTCCTGCCTCAATAATTTTCTGTGTTTCTTAGACAAGGTTTGAAAGCAAGGAAAAAGGATCTTGGCGTGACTAGAAGACAGTTTTGTAAATATGTATTAGCATTAACTTTATTCACATCATAACAGTAGGTTTCAGAAGATCAAAACCTGACCCTGTGTGGCTCCACTGAAGTCCCTGCAAGCATACAGAAGGCATTTGCCTCGCTTTGTGGCGGCAAACAGGCTCATGTCGGCGCTCTGTTTCCTTCTCAAAAGCATCGTTCACTCGGGAAATGCATTCTCATGCTCACATCCCAAATCACAGCTTGTGACTACAGCATCTGGATCCCTAACTTTGAAGTTCCCTTTTCAAAAACAGTCCCTTCCTGTTCTGTGTTTTGATATGCCACATTCATCTTCTCCTGTTTTCTTCTATTCAAGTTCTTCTACCAATTGAGAGTTCTATCAATTGGAATACAAAGGAATTATTGCAAAGTTTTTTCTCTCTGCCATCAGTGTTCAGTAGTTTATTAAACATACATTTTATTTTTAGAGTGGCTTCAGAAGCCCTGCCTACTAAAACCTCAACTTCTCCTTTAGTTAATTGTAAAGTCAATGCCCTAAACCTCTAGGAGATATTTTTCCAAGGAGAAACCAATTTGTTTTTAAACTGAGCAGTCCTAAAAGTTTATTCTAGTCAACACTGGAGATCAATAGAGTCTTTTGTTTTATGTGCTTTAAGGGCTGAAATGGTTGCAACAGATGTAAGGGAAAAATTTCTGTAGAGGGGGAACAAGCCCAAGAGTCGGATGGTCGTTTCCTAGCACAGATATTACTATACTGGTAGAAGAAAAAGTTACAAAATACAAACAGAAGTATGGAAATTAATTATTTCCAAAGCTATGTACAGAAATATCTGGGCATGGCACATTTAATTAATGCATATTTGTTCAGAGATCAGAGATAATTTGTAAGAAAACCAATTAAGTTTTCCCTGCTTTTTCATAGGCACTAAAGACTCTATAAAAGTAAAATTATTCTCTAAATGTATTACTTTGACTTGCTTCTGATACCTAGTAATTATAAATTTAATAACATAATAATGTATTATAACAAAGATTTGTAATGCAGGTAAATGCCTAACACAGCACTGCTATCTCCTTCAGCCTCAACAGCAATGCCAAACCAACGGTTTGCCTTCCACTCCGAATTCCTCCCTGCAACTCTCCTGGCACAACCATGGCAAGTGACCCTGGCAAGCGATGGGCACAGGATTGGTGGGTTACCTGGCACCAGCACCCCTTCTTCCGCTAGCTGCATCCACCACTGCCCTTTGCAACACAGAGCCCGGACACCCGGGAAACATCTGGAAAAGAGCTGGCTCCTTTCTGCTTTCCCTGTGCTGCTGGTTGGGCACTGTTGTGTGGAGACTGTGCAGAGGAGCCGCCTGCAGTGACTGGAGCCATCTGTGCAACAGTTATAAACAGCTAATTATACTGTCAAATAGTACTTTCACATTTAAGTAATTATTGTAATTGCTGGTGGGATATCATAGTCACACTGAAGAGAAGAGGTGATCTGTGAGATGCTGTCTATTAAGACACAGGATGACAACATGGAGAGCTGCCCATCACTGGAGATATTGCAACTTTGGAAGATGTGCCCAACTACGCTCATTGCCAGTTTGTAATCACGAAGCTTTTCTTCAAGCTTTTATAATGCAACATAAAGCATAAAACCTGGATGTGCCCCTTCTGCCTGGCCTGTAAGAGGTAACCTTGCGGTCCCTGCAAGAACACTGACCTGCCATCTTCCATGAAAGCGCATCACTGCATTTCTGTACTAGCTTACCATGAGGGTGAGGACAGGAGAGGGGAAAAAACGACTGTGGGAAGTTCCTTGTTGGACTGTTTCCCTTATTTTGCACAAACATGTGGCTAGCCCAGGATGACTTAAACATAACTACTTTCTGAAAAGGCACCAACCTGGGAATTCAACATCATGCAACATGCTAGCATAGGGAACACTCGACTCTGACTGCAGCAAAAAGGCAGGGAATTGAGTTCCTTCCACCACATCAAAATACTCAAAAGGCTTCTCCCTGTCACTGTACTGTGGGAATATGCCAGAGTTCAGTGGCACTAGAAAGCATCTTGAGCAATCCCTATTTCCAGCACTGCATCTACAACCATAGAGGTGCTGAGGGCAGAGGGATCACAGCAGCTCAGAAGTGTAGATGGATGTGGCATGGCTATGTCCGACAGCCCACCAGGCACTGAAGCACACAGTGTACGAAGTGAAATACAGGGGGATTTGACCAAAGGGAAACCCAAAACCTCCTGTGCTTTTTCAGTTATAAAGTGGGGTGGGTGTTCCTGCTTTATTGGACAGCCACAACCAAGATGCACACTGTTCCTGTGTCAATGGTGTATCCAGACCTTAGCTGCAGGAACCAATCAAAGTAATGAGTCTGATGTCAAATTTGGTAGCCTTGGTTCTTGGTCATTTGTAAGCCTCCAAGCTTATGAGAGACTGGGCTGCCTGCAACTGCTGACAGTGCTGGAATGACTGTTACCAAAGAAGCCAGGAAAAAAAGCCAGCAAATAGAGGCAATGAAGAAATCTGATTTCTTCTGCTGCTGCACTGAGGAGCTGGTAGAAACCCCTGCCTCAGGAACCCACTTCCTTTGCACCACTTGCTATCTTCCTGTGGGCATGGGATGACAGCAGGAAGGCTGCCCTAGTACCTGGAAGGCCTGTTCAGTTCTCAGATGGGCACTGCAAAGTTGCTCCAAAATGTTTGGGAGAGAGACAGAGGGATGAGTAGACACCCACCACATGTGAAACACAGAAACACCAGGGGAGGAACCAGAGGCCATGTGGAAAGGCTGAAGCTGGGCAGCAGTACCTCATCTCTGCATGTCCAGCGTCAGCTGAAGAATTTGTAAGTGCAGAGCCACCTACCTTTATGTAGTTATTTCCATGGAGAGGCAATTTAGAGCAGCTCAGACAGGAACTGAACATAACGTTGTTCAATTACCTGTGAAACCTTGTGCTGGCAAAAACACTTCATGAATGTTTCAGTGAAACTCATTTTGATACAAACACAGCCAAGGACATTCAAGAGCCGGACCCAGCAGTCCAGTGCTCCAAAATGAAACAGAAAAGCATTTTTCTTTCCCCATGTTGCACACAACATGGAATACAAATGAATCAGGTTTTTTGCTGACTAATCAGTTTGGGGTTTTTTTTTTGGAATCATAGAATCGTTAGGGTTGGAAAGGATCTTAAGATCATCTAGTTCTAACCCCCCCTGTCGTGGGCAGGGACACCTTACGCTAAATCATATCACCCAAGGCCTTGTCCAACCTGGTCTTTTGTACATTTTAACCTAAAATCAAGACTTTCTGCACAGTCTCTTAGCTCAACCTGTCCAACTGATACCCACCAATTAAAAACATAGCAGCTAAGCTGGTAAGCATAAGCAACTCTGCACCATGCTGTCACCCTTCCATGTGCATGAGTAGCTAAATACCTAATGCAAACAGAGGCTAATTTCAGGTTGACTCACAGAAAACCCATTCTTTTCCAACAGCAAAAGCGGCTCATGGCCTACTTCACTCTTCGTTTGACGCTGATATGTTCTAATCAGTCTGGGTTTGATGGGTACCTCCTAGCTAATAGCACAGTTTTAGAAAAACTTTCCCAAGACATAACTGCTGTCAATTTTCTCTGTACAACCTTTAAGAAGCATTTTTTTTTCTATTCAGCTTTTTAAAAAATACTTATTATTATTAATATTAATATTTTAAGGAAACAGTTGTGGTAAGCTTTGCACTGATTTTAGCCCTCACCTGAACCCCCCCAAAATAAATTCTTGTTTTATTTTTTTCCTTATCTTCCCAGTTACTGCTCAGCTGGGAGTGATTTCTGGGTTAGACTAGTCTAATCTGCAGAAATAGCACTGGGACTAAAAAAGAGTGAGAATACAACCTGCAACCCAAGAAATTTGGGTCATGCAGAGAATCTAATCCAACAGCTCAGTAAACAGAGGGCAAAACCCAAATCATCCTTCTGAGATGGTTCTGTGCCTCCCTCTGTTTCGGATTATCTGAGACACTGACTGCTCCTGAGCTTTCTACCTGCAGCATCGTACGTTTTGTTTGAATATCACCGTGACACTTCCTCACGCAGAGGCACACACTGCGTTCTGAGATGCTTTAATCAGCAGTATTGATATCTAATGCCAGGTTTTAGAGCCATCCTATCTGCCGGATAACTGTGCAGGAGCATCTCCCGCCGCGGAGAGGGGGGGCAAAGGAAAGGGCGCTGGCGGTAGAGGGGAGTGACCGGGGATGGCGAAGGCCGGGCCCTGGCGCACGGGCTGGCGTCCGGCCATGTGCTGCGGTGTCGGGGCGCTGCGCAGGGTGCGGCCCGGGGGCGATCCCCGGGCGCTGCGTTCTCCTGGGGGACCCTCCTCGAGGGTGCATCTCCCCCCGACCCAGGCCTCACCTCCTGGAGGCTGCATACACCGGAGTGTACCCAGCGCGAGGATGGGGGTGCTGACGGCAGCCTCCGCGGGGTTCCCGCGGGGGCACATCCGCCGTGCCTGGGCCGGACCCGCCGCCGCGATCACGCGTAAGCCTCGCCCCGGGGGACACCACCCCCCAGCCTCCAACCCTGGGCCGCTCCCTCCCGCTGCCGCCCCGCGGAGCAGTCGGCACCTACCTGCGCCCAGCAGCGCGGCGAAGGCGAGGAGGAGCCCCAGGAGGCGGCGGCCGGCCATGTCGCGGCGGGGCTGCGACTCTGCCGCGGGCTCGGCCGCCTGCCTCCGATGGGGCGGGGCGGGCGCTCGGTGCCGCCCCCCGCCCGCGGGGCTGCGCTCGGGACCCGGCCACAGAGAAAAGAGGTGGGGAGCCTGCGGAAGTGGAGGAGTGACGGGAGGAGCTGGGGCCCGCGAGGGTGTCCCGAGTTTTGGCACCGGAGGTTGCTGCGCGGCGCGGCCTGCCCGCCTCTACCCGTCGCGGCACAAAGGCGTTCCCACGGCCCCGGCGCACATCCTCTCGCTGGGCGTGTGCGGCGGCTGCGCTGGGCTCGGCTGAGCCCGGCCCCGCGTTTGCTCATCGACGTGGGGAGAGTTGGCGCTGAGGATGCGCAGCCAACTTCTGCGGGGCTGCTGCCCGAGGGGGTGGGCTGCAGCAGCGGGACGGCCCGGCGACAGCACCCCCGGAGCCGCGGGAGCCGGCGGGGCACAGTAATGGTGCGGGATGGGCCGATGGTGAGGGCGGGGGGCTCTGTCCCGCTCCCGGGAAGCGGCTGTGCAGGGGAGGGAGCTGCTGTGATTTCATGCCAAGTTTTTAACGCGGAGGTTACGGAGACATAGAAATGTTAGCTGGAAGCGACCTCTGGAGGTCTCTAGCCCAAACGCCCCCTCGGAGCGGGACCCACGGACAACAGGTCAGGTCAGCTGTGGCTTTACTCGGTGTGGAACTGAAAACCTCCAGGGATGGAGGTTCCCCCACCTCCCTGGGCGACCTGCGGCAGCGGTGCCCCACCGCCTGGTAAAGGAGGTTCTCCTGGGGCCTGTCTGACTCTCCCGCTGACCCTGACCGCTTATTTAGCTGTCACCTCCTGTTGTGACACCTACTACTGCCAAGAAGAACTTGGCTCCATCGTCTTAATAATTGCCCTTAAGTAGCCGTAAACTGCAATTAGATCTGCAGATTAGATCTCGCCAAAGCAAACAAACTGCCCCTTCTAGTTCAGGTGCACCAGGTGCTGGAACCTCTTCTCTACATCTGTTTTTAAATGGGGGAGGGAATTGTTAATGATACAGGAGTTATCTTTATTTATTGATATTTATAGGTGGTTTCACTACAGAAAAGGGGGTGAGGATGCAGCCTATATTTAGGCCCTAAAGCGTTAGTGAGAACTGAAAGCCTGAAGAAGTGTCTGGATTGTCCTAGTTCCACCCGACCTCACAGCAGTTGGGAGATACTGCTGTCCCTGGCTGCTCAAGCTGAGTGTCAGTGTCTCATGTCTGGAAGGTGCTTTTTGTCCTTGGTGGGAACATCACCTGAAAAGATGGTGAGCAAACAGGACATGGAGGAGTTACAGTCATCTTCAGAAGTGCTCGGGTTAAGGGATGTGGTGTGCTAGCAGGGGCAGCCTGATTTTTATCTCTGCCCATGTGGAAGATTGCAGGCTCCATGCTCCCAGTGCCTTGCTTTCCACTAACGTTCCAGGGGGAAAGTCTCCAAAACGCACACCAGAGCGAGCTTCAGGAAGTTACCATAGTTCGGCATGCTCATATCGTGTCATCACAGTGCATGATGCTTATGTACTGTGCAACTCTCTCTACTGCAGCAGGAGTAACAGGGGTCCCAGGTTACAGAGGAGCTGAGCTAGAGAAGGTGGAGGTCAGCTACTACACAAAACCATCTGTGCATTCACAATATTGCCTTTATTCCTGTTTATACAAAGAGAAATTCGGGATTACAGTCCAGTTTGAGTCAAACTAAAGGCAAGTAGCAGGACAACGCTTGTACCTTCCTACTCTGGTTCCCCGATAACCTCTTCTATCAGCTATTTGCATTTCAGTGGCTTTCCAAGCCTCTGGTAATTGTTGAGGGAGGACGTGGGTAAAAGGCTATTATGTTAGAGTTAGCAAGCCTGAAGGCATGAGAGAGCATCGCAGCAGCTGATGCAACCCGTGACAGTATATTGTTTGCAGTGCTGTTCGAGCCTGGGGTGCACACCAGTGCCTGTGAGTTGATTCATAATTACAAAGAAGTATGAATGTACCATTTAAGTGACAGGAGGGCGGGCAGCAGCAGTGCTGTGCTTTGAAACTGGAGGGAAACAGGGCGGTTCAAACTGTGAATTCGTCTGACTGAACTCCCCAATAACCAAGGCTGCCATCTGTGACCGGTGGTGCCCAGCCAGCGCGGGGCTGTGTGCAGCGGCACAAGTTGTGTCTTTAAGGGAAGCCAAGCCCAAGGCAGCTGGAAAGCCTGGGGACCCGCCAACGAGTGACTCAGCATCTCCTGACCTGTGCCCGGGAGCCCAGGCTATTCTTGGTTCCGGGTGTGTTTAAGGCAGGCAGCCCAGACTTAAACACTTCCAGTTGCTCTGCAGAGGATGTGCCTGTGCTGAGGCTGGAGCTTTGCATGCGTTATGTTGTCCAGGGCTGTACTGCCGTCTTCTTGTTGGATCGCTTTCCTCCAACATCAAGGGGGCTAAGGCCTTTTCATTTTCTTCTCTTGAGCTAGATTCAATTGTAATCCTTAAATAGCGGAATAAATGGCCATTGGAGGAGCTTTCAGTGGGAAAATATACTTACTTCCCATTACGTTTTAAGAGGTATCAATGCTCAATTCTTCTTGCTGCCTTTGAAAATCTCCTCCCTGGACTTAGCATGCTTTTGTCTATGAGAGCAAAAATATGCTTAAAGGGAAGGGGAAATGCTGATCAGGAAAGGTAATGCTGGGTCACACAAAAATCTGGTTTAGAATCTTTTTCTTCCTGAATATTCAAATCATTTAGCAGGATTAAAACATGTAATCCGTTAGATCTCAGAGCCCCTCAAAGGCGCTAATCTGTTACCCTTGATAAGTGATGGACACATAAAAAGCATCAATTTAGCTGCTAGTGGAGTGCTCCTGTTTTAAAAGCAGAATGAGCTGTCATGTAGAAATGCATAGCCTTGCCACGCAGTTATCTGTGATGGAAAATGAAAATACTATAGACCATTTAAAATGAGCAGTTTCAAAGGCTGAATTACATTTTCACCTGTGTCCATCTCCTGCCTGAGGTATTGTTGTTTTATGGCCTTGTTTCCAAATACAGTAATCCTTTTTTAAGTAAAAAATTTGCTAATTTGGAGTCTTTTAAATTCCCTTACAAAGCTGGAATGTGCCTGATCAGATCTTCTAAATGCCTTGTTTTCTAAAGTCCTGATTAAAGTTGTGATCCAAGTAGTTCCTTAAAAAAGGCAAGTCAAACAGTAGTATGAGATGGCAACACTACAAACAGCCCTTATCCTGTGCAACCCCAGCGGCCCTGTGGTTAAGTATCAGGGGTATTCCCAGTCTCTTCCATCGCCCGGGAGAAGGAAGGAGCAGCTTTCCCTGGGCAATGGGCTGTCAGGCCGCCGGGCTGTTGGCTCTGGTCCTGCGCCAGAGCTGAGATCCAACGGATTTTCCTCCTGCAGTGCCAGCAGCTGAGCTGAGGGAAGGGGCAGGGGCTCGGTTCCCTTCAACTCGTGGTGTTCTGTGGCTGGCTGCAGTGGCTTGCCCTGTGGAAGTCACGGCTGAGTAGAGCTCCCTGTAAACAGACTTACTCTGCTTCTCACTGCCTGCCAAGTGCTGAGTACTGCTCATCATAACCATTTTCTCAGAGAGCCTCCAGTCTGGTTCCTCAAAAGACCGATGCATTGGGGGGTGTTTATACAAGCTGATTTTAAGTATGTAATTTCTCTGCCTACATTAGATGTCTAGACTTCTGCTGTAATCAAAAGTGAGGGGCAGGATCCTAATTACAGCGCTCTCAGTTACACCCTAAAAGATCCCTTGCCTGTATGGAGAGCATGGGTACGTTACGTAGGTGCTTAAAATGGGCCTGAATGTTCCCTGCTGTGTGGTGGGTCTGCCACTGCTACTGCAAACAGGCACAGAACCTCTTTGCCTTGTATAAATCAAATGCTTCAGTTGCACTCTTAAAGGAGAAATGTTTGTAGCACTTGAATGGAAATTAACTGGAGAGTGCATTTATTTTTGGCCAGTCCCCTGGGAGCACCTGCCAAACATTACCTCTCATTTCAAGCCTGGCTGTTCCTGCTGAGAAAGTCTGATGGAGCTTCGAGTCTGGGTCAAGGTGAGCTCCTGGCTCTTCATCAGCTGTCTGTGCCATTTAAAAGGGAAGGAGGAATGAAAGCTAAGCAGCGGATTGGGTATGAGGAATGGTGTGCTCCTGCTAGACAGCTCAGCAATGAGAAGAAACAGGACTGCTTGGGTATGGTTTATGTACCGATTAAATGCACCTGCTGGTCCCCAAGCATCAATGCACAGTTTTAGAATGAAAATGTTGAATAATAAATTAAACTGAGAAAATTAATTCCGGCCTCGTCTACTCTGGGACGATAGCCAATTGCTTAAAACAAGGCTTACCTGCACCTGTCTGAAACCAAAGTACCTGGCACAAGCCATGGTGCCTATGTAAAAGCTCTTTGAGAGTCATTAATGCTGTCATGTGTATGTGCTCAAGTGTCGGCGATGGGGACTTCGGTAGTGGGTGGACCAATCTCTCCACTTCCATGGAAGCACAACTTGAATGTGCACAGGGATGTGTCTTGCAGGGTGCCTCTTCCCACTTCCCAGCACCATGTCACCAGTACCGTGCTATTCCAGGGCGGGGCATGGCAGCACTCATGGGCAGAGATGCTGAGGAGTTTATTTACTCATAATAACCATGATCTCAAAGGGAAGGATACTGGGACATTGGGGTCAATCCACATTTCTCTCAAATGCATTAGAAACTGATGTTTGCTCTCTAAATTCCTGAAAAGCAGCAAAACCCGGTGTTTTCGTATTCTTTTTATTACTATTATTTTATTTTCCACCAGGGACAGAAATTGCTGGCTGAGAATCTGAGGCCTGAACCCAAAGAAAACATGTCTCAAAAGCAGCATAACTGCTCTGGCCAAGGTTTTCCTTTCTTCCTCTCTGCCTTACTCCAGAAGTCTGCAGAATCCAAAAGGCAGCTATAGAGTGTAAGGTGAAGTTCAGTGCATCAATGAACATTTGTAAAAGAGCTTTCCTGCCTTTCCCAGCAGTTAATATCTTTGTTGCACAGAACTTAGTTTTTAGAAAGACCTCGTGTGTTTTTTGGCTGACTGAGGACTGGCAAGGAATGTTCTTAGTTTTGTATGGGGAAGAATTGGTTTTTTTTTAAGGGCAAAACCCCACCAAACCCTCAAATAAACAAACTTGCTTTCACCAGAATCTCTGTTCCTGTTGCTGAGTGTGTGCAGTATTATCTGCAGTGATAAAACAGTGCATAAAGCAGCTTTATTAGACTGGGAAGTGTGGGAATTCAAGTGCAGAACAGGTAGTACCAGGCAAGCAAGGTGTCTGCTTGTTTTTTTTTCCCCTCACATTGGACAGGCCTGATCGATGTGCCTAGGTTAGTATGATGGTGGGGTGGGCACTGAGAAAGAGCTGGTACAACTCAGGGCTGATACTGTTTGGGAGGAAAGTGGTTTTGTTTCCAAATCCTGAATGTTGGCCCTTGGAGGAGAAAGATGACTCTCTTCTTGGCTCCTGAGCCTGAAGGAGACTTATAGCACAGCTAAATTGTACATGTCCCTTGGGAAGAGTTTTGTAGCCAAAACCACTAAAAATCCCAGACTCTTTCATCTAAATACAGTCCTAGGAAATTACCGTGGTCTCGATCTAATATGTACTCTGCATTGTACAATGTTGTCCTTCTTTTGTAAGTAAAGGTTTTCTTGTTTACTCAGCGTTATACCTGCAGTGGGAAAGTTCCATCCGCACAGCAGAAGTTATGTACAGAACAGGTAACTAATGCTTATAAAATAAAAAAGATTTGGAATTGGCCTTAAGTTATTGCGTGTGGGTTGCTGGGTTCTTTTGTGTGTTTGTGTGTGGTTTTGTTTGGGGTTTTGGGGGAGTTTTGTTTTTGTTTTTTTGTTTGTTTGTTATTGTTCTGGGTTTAGTTGTTTGTTTTTTTGTTTTAACCATGCCATGAAATTTTGCAATGATTTTATATTAAATTTTGTTACAGGTTCAAAAGCTCTGCTCATGCCTCTGGTACTTTCTCTATGACTCTGCTGTAAATGTGAGAGTAAAACCCCAAGTGTCAGAGATGGACAAGTTCTTCTCAGACCAGTGCACAGTTGTTCCGTTTTTGGGAGCACTCAGGGTCCCTGCAGGCTGGTAATCTCTACTACATGAGCTGCATTGATAGGAATTTGATGTTTTTAACTTAATATTATGGGGGTAATTTTCTTTTACCAACCCCTGAGGATGTATATTAAGTGCTATTACGTATGACTTAAATACAGGAAAAATCTAGAATTCTGACCTTTTATCCAAACCAGAGTTTTATTGTACTCTGGTCCTGGCTCTTGGGCTGGTCACCATACAGAGTATGGGACCTGACCCCTACCGGTGGACCCCATGGTGAAACGAGTCAATGTGGAAGGATTCATCCAACTGCCCTTAGATGAGGTTATTTGCCTGCAAACCCAGTTGTTTCTACTGCTGATGGCAGAAAGTGGATCTCCAGATATGGCAAAACTCCAGGGCTAGCAAAAAGTGGAGCTGGTGGGTGTTTAACTGCTGACTTAATGAACAGAAAAAGATCTGACACTATTTTGACGTACGCCTGAAGTGATTGTTTTTTATGCTCCACAGCTTTGATTTTTTTTTCCTGTCTTAATTTTAACTCTTTTCCTTTCCCTCTTAATATCATATCGCTTTCCCTCCCCCCTCACCTCCTACATTCTTTAGCATCTTCCTGGTTTGGGGGGGATCTAACAGCCTTGCTTTGTCCAGTTCTGGTCTGTGTTCGAGTGGGCTCTAAGCAGCAGTAACAAGCCTGCTGAGATGCAAAGAGCAAATGCTCTCCAGCAGAGCAGGCTGACACATTGGGCAGACCTCAGCTGCTGGCAGGTGATTACAGAGTATAAACCCTGCCCATAGTGAAGAGCAGAACAGACTCTCAGCTAGCACAGGCAGAAAGCTTGTTTGTGCAGGGGTGTATTCAAATCCAATGCAATTCAACTGAAGCTGTGTCCTCTGCTTGTCAGTCCAGGTGCTCGGGGCAGGCATAGAGAGAAAATACCTTTGTGCTAACGATCTTACCATCAAAATAGACTTTTATTGCTAGACTGTAATGTAACAACCAACTTCCATGCCTAGACAGAATTCCCACTGATGTCAAAGGTTTTATTTCCACTGAGAAATTAGTAAGCACTGTGGATTTTGGAATATTATCAACATTAAAACAACAGTCTGGACTGTGTTTTCCCTGCTGTTGTCATGTGAAGCACTTAGGGGTGACTAAAAGTGTAAGTCTCTGTTACTCTTTCATTTTGTTCATTTGATGGCAGAATTGCTGTCTGCTCAGTTAATTAATTTCTCCTGCTGTGTTGGGGTCTTTCACACAACACCAGGGAAAAAAAGTCTTTGAGAGTGAGACAGTGTGGTGTGAACCCAGAGAAGTTGTTAGGGGGGTCCAGGGGAGGTGAGAGGTTCTGAAAGTTGGTTTTATTGTTTAAAAATGGTTTTCCTGTAGAACCCAAGTGTGTGTGCCGCTGCAGTCAGCCGTCAGAGCAGCTCAATAGGAAGGAGTTTGGTTGACCCCCTCAGAAACCCACTATGAAATGTTGTGATAATTCATTGTAAGCAAGTTCATGAGTGATGCAAAGCTGTTTCTTTCCCATTCAAAGCTCTTAGACCTTTTTACTGCTGGGGTGAGGTTTGTGCTATCTCCTGCAACTCTGGGAGCTCAGCCTGCTCTTTGGTCTCCATCGCCTTTCGTGCAGCAGTCAAGCCATGAGCTGTTCCTCACTGATGATAATTAAGTTCTCATTTCCCCATCTTGAGCCAACTGCAGAAGTGTAAATATTGTTACTGCTGGTTTACAGGTGAGGGAAGGACGGGTGGGGAGCAATGTGATTTGCCTAGAAAGCTCAGCCCTGTGGCCATGCTGGGAACTGAGCAGCTTGCACTGATGGGGTGACCTGGGAGAGGTTGGGGAAAGAGACCTCATGTGTTATCACTGCTCCAGGACAGGCTGGGGGACCCCAAAATGCCACCTGCTTGGCTCTATGCAGAACAACAGTAGAATGGATCCAAGTGTTTTTAAGCTATTATGTTGCTGGTGTTCAGCTTGATCTAGTTCAAGATGTCCCTGCTCATTGCAGGGGGGTTGGACTAGATGACCCTTGAAGGTCTCTTCCAGCCCAAACTGTTCTATGATTCTATGAGCGGCTGTGGTCTGCCTTGAGCTGAAGTGCCCAAGCTGTGCACACATGGAGCCCAAGCTGGTGTTGCCAGATGTTAGAGTCAACACTCGCCATGGTTCTTCCCTTCTTAGCATCTCTCTGTGGCCTGGGACAGTGCTTGGCCCCTTGCTGCTGGTTGCATACAGACTGTAAAGTGATCCATGTCATCTGGCGTGTTTCTGCATGTTGTGACTCTTTGGAAAAGATCAGCACTGTTAGCGTACTGTCTTCCAGGCACGTGTCTACCATCTCCTGGTAGCTGTCCCTGGTGGGAGGGTTTGCGGCACCAAAGCCCTGGTCTGTGCTGCGAGCGGACGATTTCTCTGGTATATTTACACTTGTAAGGGAAGATTGTTTCCCCCCCCCGCCCCTTGTAAATATCACGGCACTTCTGTTGCTTCTGTGCTGGCCCATCTGTGCACCATTTTCACTTGTACTGACTCATGTTCACAGAGTAGTAAGAACATCCCTAAGTGGTTTAATTTCTGCCTCAGAGCGGGCCCATTTTGCTTTTCCAGTTTGCTCCTAGGCTGCTGAGCGCTGGGTATTCTGTTTTCTTAATGACATCTCTGGGCTCTGTTGGGTTGGTATAGATTTTAAAGATGCCATTTGCATTTTTTAATTCAGATTTTTCAAGGCTTCCCTTCTCATGTTCATGGGGTTTGTCCTCTGAATGTTTGGGCTTGTATTCACTGCTCCGTGTGCACCCAGAGTCACCTTCATCATCTACAGGTCAGACCTTGCTCTAGGGATAGGCTGATCATTGGCTCTTTTTGGTAGCTACTTCTTTAGTGTTCACTGACCTGTAGAGTCTATATCCTTGCTCAGCTTGAACTGTATCCCAGCAATTTTTGGCCTGGTGCCGCAGAGGCCCTGCACCAGAGATCCCATTAGCAGAGAAAGCCCTTCCAAACCCTGCAGCCAGCTGCAGGAGCATTCTTGATCATGGTCAGATGCTGCATGTGTGGCCTAACTGGTGTGCCTGGCACAGTGGAGCACTGGACTTGCTCAGCACTGAGGATAGTCAAATTATTCTCTTGATCTCTGCTGCATGTGTGTAAGCAGCAAATATATAAAAAGTCTAAGGCTAAAACCAGGCAAATTATGATCCTTTTCCTGCAGGGAAAGACATGTATTTCACAGCAGTGGAGTTTGCCAGTATTTTAAGAAACATGGAGCTGTGGAAGCATTTCTGTAAATGACAGAAAGATCCTTTTAATAGGGGCAAAAGATTCTTTTCCCTCAAACATATTCTTGGGAAAGACTTGGACCATTTCAGCTGAAATGAAAAAGTTTAGCTTGAGGCCAAGGCCAGCTGGAGAAATTTCCAGCCCAAAAAATTAGTTGTAGATGAAGTTATGAGCAACGAAAACTGGAGCTGTACAACAGTCAACTGTAATTACAGTGGTGCTTTCAACTGCCTGTAACATTGGCACATGTGTCAGTGCAAGTCCTTGTGTGACTCGGGAAGAGCCTTCTTGCAGAGCTGTTTATAAACCCCAGCTTGCTGATCTGAGGGGATGGGAACAAACGTTTCACATCAGGAGTAATCGGCTTGTGAAAGATGAATTAACTGGTGACTTTCAAGGCACTGTTTTCTCTGTGTTCAGTGTTTACCCAGGGTCAGGTTTAGCTGGGATATTATATTTCTGTTGCATGAGGAAGGAAGGGTGTAATGAAGAGAGAGCCTCTTATGATGGAGAACAGCTCAGATGAGGAAGCTGTGATGGCAGAGATTAATAAGACTGCATGCTGTTTGCAGTGTCTCCATCTAAGCCAGGCTTTTCTGTCAAACTAGAAGTTATTCTCCTGATGGTGGAGGTTGTCTGTTGTAAAAGCAGTTACTTGCTTAGCAGGGAGAACACACCAAGACTGCAGTGTGTCTTGCACGAAGGGCTCCTCCTGGAGATGTTCATGCCATGCACAATCATGGGCGAGTATTTTAGGAGCTCATGTCTGTTGGCTGCTAAATTGAGTTGCATGTGAACTCTCTTCAGCAGTAAAGGTAGTGCTGACAAATCATCATCTTCAGTGATGAAAGGAGTGCAGGTGAGAGGAAATTTAGTGGGAGGAGATCTTGCTTGGAATTTCTGGTGGAAACCGTAATTATGTGATTCAGTGTAGAGAGGTATGAGGGTTTCCAGTGTAAGCTATAAAAATCACTTAGGGAAGCAGCCTACAGATGAGGCTGCTCATTCAGATCTTATCTACTCATGTGGGAGTGTGGAAATCTTAGCGCTCCACCTTATCTCTTCTCCCCTGGGAGATCAGTGTTGAGAGAGTTTGACCTCTTGTTTACTATTTCAAATCAAACCTAGTGTAATAGTGGCTTTGGCCATGCAGCGCCTCAGTCACTTAATGAAATAATCTTGTTCCCTGCCCTTGCTGGGAGAAATATGTCTTGCCAAAATACCACTTAGGTGATATCTAGAGGGTAGACATAATGAAGTAGGGCTCTGGCAGAAACATCCTCCCAGGCTTTCCCTGCAGGTGCAGAGCTGAGGATGTTAGAGGTAGTGGAATTTTGTCCCTCTGCTTCTGGGCAAATCTGTTCTGTATGTGAGGAGGATCCCTGGTTCTGTGCTTGCTCCTGGGCTTTTGCAGTTCCCTGCAGATTTAAATAAACTTTAAATCAATATTGATTAAAAACATTCAGCACAAGGAGATCCCAGATCTGGAATGGATGTTCTCCAAAAGCAAGCAGACCTCAGTGCCAGCACAGGAGTATCCATACAAAGAGCCCTCAGCCAGAGCGGGCCCAGAATCTGTTTTGCTTTCTCATACTTGGAGCTGGTATATTTTAAAGGATATCAAGCAGCAAATGTGGCAAAGGGGAAAAATTGTTACAGACTGTATTTGGCAGAAAACCAGCAAAGATAAAATACCATACGTTCTGTGCAGTGAGCTCCTACATAAATGATTCATTCACTAGAACACAACTGGGGTCAACACCTTCTATCTGAATAGCCCAAAGTTATGCAAATATTTTTATGTGGATTTTCTCAAAAAAAAAAAAAAATCTGTTCCAATAAGAAAGCTCTTTATCTGTGTAACTTTTAAGAA